AAATTAAACTATAATGTCCTCAAATTGAAAGAGAAAGTTAGTTTCAGTCTTCAAATAATGTTTGGTGCCATTTCATGATTTGGTCACACTTTTTGGAGAAAAGAGCCCAAAATTGACATGTGTAGCATAAAACCATTTTGAAGAATCTCCCAGGAATGAAAGGGTTACCCTTAAATAAAACAAAGAATTTCATTGTGAGAAGCATGCATGCTTTTTTCACATTTTTATTGCTTCAATTAAAACTTAACAAACACATAACTTTCATTAAAACTATCTTACTAACATTAGCATGAGTACCATAATTACAATGACTGCTAATAGTTTACATGCAAGTAACTTATATTGTATTATAATTATATTGCTAACAGAAGTAATTACAATAGCAGTAGCAGTAGTTACATTTTTTGACAAATCTAAGCATATATTCTATGTGTTTAATTTACAAGATTTCCCCTATTCTTTAAAATCTACATAGAGGAAGAGAAATAAGGAGAAGAAGAGGAGGAACTTTGTGTTGTAAAAGATAAATTAATCATTTTGATTTCATACTTGTATTTTATTTTATTGATAAAATTAATAATCTGTAGTGGTGGTGAGTTATTTTGGATCTTACATTTATGAACATAATAGTGCAAGCAGAGAAGGGTATAACTCAATTTCTTTGTTAGTGTGGTTGATGCAGAGAAAAGGCCAAAGGGAACATCTTCAGCTTTTAGAATGAAATTAGAACTATTATTTACATTTAACCATTGTAATACTTCTTGAGTAAAAGATTTTGTGAACTGGCACTCAATTGAGGTATGATATAAGGAGTCTGATTCCCTGCAATAAACGCAATTGCTATCTGGTTTGAAGTTAAATCGGAACAGTTCCTTCTTTGTGACAACAACTCTGTGAATGAATTTGAAGTGGAATTTTCTTAACTTGTTTCCTTTGCAGACTTTTCAAATGGATCTAAATATCTTTCCCCAGTTTGTTTAGTCCTCTGTAATAGTTTTGTTCCATTGCCTTCCGCGTACATGCTGATCATTATACATGTATTCCTGATGAATAATTAGCCAATAGAAGTCTTTTGACTTATATTTATATTTACATTTTCAGTTAGAGGGAAGGGTTCCAGGTCCTCATGACTAATACTTTCAGATATTAAATCCATGAATCTTACTTTTGTCAGGTGACCTGGTATAGCAGAAATAACTTGGTAATAGTGAAGGAAGGAAGTTTTTCTTCAACGAATATTTGCGCTGAAAGATGGGAAAGGGTAGGGCGTGCTTCCTCTCATCTAAAAGATTTTCAATTCTTTTAATGCCTTTCGTGAACCATTCCTTCAAGAAAAACGTTTTACCTTCGATACAAATTTCCTTATTATTAAATAAGATTGTGTTTACCACATCACATCCAATGATTTGGAGCAAATTTTTACTTTGATTGGCTACTTTGCAACAATCTCAGAATCCATGCTAACCTTAACGCTTTCATCATTGTTACGAAGTCTGTCATACGCAGCTCACTGTTTTCATAATTCTGGTGTAATCCCTCTCTTTTTATTTATTTTGTTCCTTTTATTTTTCCCCAGAAAAGAAAACAGCCTTCTCTTGAC